TTCACGCCGCTTCTCGCCACTTCTCGCCGCTCCTCGCCGCTTCACACTGCTTCCACACCACCTCCAGGTCATCATCCTGATTCTATTTCGTCCCATGCTGCCTCGTCGCCATCTCCATGGCGTATTCACGTCGTTTCTAAACCGTCTTCTCGTCGCCATTCCGACATCAGGTTGTCCCGTGCGGCCTCCAGGCCCCCCGTCACAACCTCACGCAGGCTCTCGCACCCCCTTGCCGCGCCATACCAATCTACAATCGCGTCGCAGCGAATCGCAGCATCCCCCGCACTTCGCCGACATTGGCTCTCCACCGCAGGGCCCATCAGAATGCGACATCTGGAGCACAGACCCCGTTTCCGCGGCCCGAGCCACCTGCAGAAGCGATGGCGCGAGCGACGACGCAATGTTTAAGGCAAGGCGGAGGGGATGAATGGCTCATCAGATAACACTTTGCGTCGCATTTGGCGGCGGCGTTTTGCATCGCCGCCTCTGGAACCAAATGGCGAGGTTTTAACGTTACTTCGTCATGCGGTATCAGATGCGCGTTTGACAGCTACAATACATAAAATCTGTTAGCCTTTCCATTACTAAAGTGTGCGTTGAGAGTTCTTCACATGCCGTTGAATGAGAAGGGAATGAAACGTTGTGGGCAAAGGCTTATCAACACTGATGATCAAGGTTGTAAGCAAAGCGAACTGAACGTTTCGCGTTTTCCAACGTTAGTGGAAGAACGCACACGAGAGGAAGCGAGGTTGCCGCTTTTCGGAACGAATGATTTCCTTTGATTCTCAATACTTCAGCTGTATCCATCAGTATTAGTATCTTGAGCGTGCCCTCGTTTTGCTGCGTTTCGGGTTTTGTTGTACTTTTATTCGTTATTAGTTTTAGTTGATTTTTTTGGAAATGCTCTTCGTTCACAGTATGGGTGGTTAGGTTTTGTACTCAGCAGCTGATGTTCAAACTCGACGCGTCGTGACATTTAAGGCGTACGTATTTTTTCGCGACTGTTCTATTTTCTTCATGTTCATTAATTGATGTAATATTGATGATATAAATATTGATGTAATATTAATTGATGTTCATATGACCCGTCAGTACTGCGAGTGTTTTTTTCACCTATATTCACCACCATTTCTCCCTCCGTGTAGGTACCTTAGTGAGGCACTGTCCCAGCCGAGAAAAGCTTGAATATTGCTTAGTGTACTCCCGACCCGTGTAATTGTGTAGTACATGTAAATGTGTGGGTAAGTAAAGGGAGAGGACAAGGCTTAGAAAGGAAAAATCGTGAGCGGTCCGTGTCCCATTTGTTGGGATTACTGCTGCAGGATAGGAGCATCAGCCTAGTATTGGTCGGAGGAACCACGAAAAACAGAAGAACAGAGCAATCGGTTGCTAGAATTCTCTACAGACAGCAGCTGAATTCGACCTAGCAATGTAGCTAGTGCCAAATATCCACCGTCGGGGCTCGAACCCTAGGATCTTCGTATAAAAAGTTGCTTCTGAGTCCACAGCAATGCTGTCAATACTGTCTCGGTTCTAAACACAGCCGGTTCCGGTTGCCAGTGTGAACGCACCATAACAATCCGCACACCGGAACGGAAAACAAGAACGTCGTGCTGCGCCGCGGAGAACGGGGCTGCGGAGAGCGGGGCCCATTGCTAGAAGCGAAGGCCCATTGCTAGAGACGATTGCGCATCTCGGAGCGTCTTGCCTTTCTCCGTGCCGGGGGCTTTGGCTACCTACGAGCGGCGGCCTCTCACGGAAATTGACGACACCGGTCCGCGCCGGTCCACTCCGCCCCGCTCTTCCCCGCTCCACTCCGCCCCGCTCCGCCCTGCTCCGCCCCGCTGCGTCGCCCCGCGCCTCGCTGCCACCCTCGTCTCGCTCTGCCTCGCGACTCCACCGCTGTGCAGCGCGGCATTTATCTCGTCCCACCGAGCTCCACGCCTCAACCTCTGCCCCTCTCCGCCACGTCCCTCTCTGCCATTATCCACCCTCCCCGGGTGTCTCTCCCTCCGTCATTCTCTGCCCCACCCCGCCAGTCTTCGCACTACCCCGTCCTTCCATTCCAAACCTCGACCAGCCAAGTCGCTCTGCAGTGCTTCTGACCGGGAGGTCCTGGGGTTCGAATCCCGACGTTAGCAAGATTTTCGACACTAGACAGATTGCTGGGTCGAGTTCTGTCGCTGTCTGGAGGAGAATCCTAGTGACCGGCTGCTTTCAGCGGTAGTTTTCCCTGGTTTCTCCGATCAACGCCCGGTGAATGCCGGAGCAGTACCGTACCAAACGGGCCACGGGCTGAGCGCGATCTATCCTTCACATTAATTGTCCTATCCTACCTGTTACACGCACTTACACTTAGAGACAGCACACTACCACACATGTCGCGAGACCGGTCGGGAGCTTAGAGCTTGTACTGGCTGTAGCGGTACCTTGCTGATGGGAGATACTTGGTTGGGGAAAACAGGCGACGGTACG